GATGCTGTAGCTTTAAGGAGTTATTTTGTCCTGGTTTCTTTTAAGAGATGATTGAGCGAGAGGCAGTGAAATGGCTACTGGAGACCACTTGAATGAACAGCTTGGGAGGCCTTGGCTTTTTTTAAATGCAGTCTGAATGGGTGTGGCCAGCTCTCTCAGATTAGGATTTCTGGGATTTGGTTTTGCAGTAGCATCAGAAGCTATTGGGGTCTCAACAGAGTTGGAAGCTTCAATGAATGTCTCCTGGCTGCTACTGTCTTTGAATTGACCCAATGATTTTTGCCTTCCAAATGGGAGAACTGCGTGTGAAAATCTGTGTCTGAATTTTCCTTTTTGCCGAGGGATGTGTTTATGGGATGTTACTATATTGGAACAGTCAATCAGTAATAGTTACTGTAGCTACTATTCTGTTAAGTTTTCCAATAGAGTTCAGTTATTCTAAATTTCTCTTTCTTTTGTTTGGATTTTGACAACAGTGTTTAAATAAATTTTCTGAAGAAGGGTCCCGACCCGAAACTTCAGCTTTTCCTGCTCCTCTGATGCTGCCTCGCCTGCTGTGTTCCTCCAGCTCCACATCTTGTTATCTCTATTTTAAATAAATTGTGTTTTGTTTAATATTTGACCAATTGCATAGCATCTGGAACCAACACTTTATATTAGCCTTTAAAATAAGAAAAAGTTATGGTCTAGGCTACCTTCTTAAAGTATTTTGACAGGGTCAGGTCTGGTTCATAACAGAGGCTAATGTTCAGAAGGAGACAGAGGCAGTGGTTGTGGGAACTGGCGAGGCTATAGGGGAGATGGAAGTGAAAGCTGCAGCTCATGAAGAAGAGGCACCCTGTACCTGTCCTCTCCTGGAGCTGGAAGGCCTTACCCATGGTTTGGGGGGATGGGGGCGGGGTGGGGGTTTTGTGGGGAGGCGTGGGTGGTCGTGGTGTTACTACTCTGTGCCTGGAACATGGAGAGGGGTGAACAACAGGGATAGGCGTAGCAGCAACCCTGAGCCCCAGACATGGCCTCCCAGCTCTGGGGTGGTCCCCTCCCCAGGCAGCATGGCAGTATGAGGCTAGACTTCCAGAAATAGGTGCAGTCTTTGCACCATTTGGTTACGCCTTTTCCCTTTTCCAGGTAAGGAGTCTTCACCTGTTAGAACTTTCCTGCTGATCAGGACATCTCTGCTCAGGGACCATGTTTTCAGCTGATCATTTCTTGGCCACATGCAGGTTTTGCATTTCCGAACCAAATGGATAATTTTACGAGAGATAGTAGGAACTACAGATGCTGGAGAATCCGAGACAACAAGGTGCAGAGTTGGATGAACACAGCAGGCTAAGCAGCATCATAGGAGCAGAAAGGCTGACGCTTCGGGCCTAGACCCTTCTTCAGAAATGGGGGAGGGGAAGGGGGTTCTGAAATAAATAGGGAGAGAGGGGGAGGCGGATAGAAGATGGATAGAGGAGAGGATAGGTGGAGAGGAAACAAACAGGTCGAAGAGGCGGGGATGCAGCCAGTAAAGGTGAGTGTAGGTGGGGAGTTAGGGAGGAGATAGGTCAGTCCAGGGAGGACGGACGGGTCAAGGGGGCGGGATGAGGTTAGCAGGTAGGAGATGGGGGTGCGGCTTGAGGTGGGAGGAGGGGATAGGTG